GGTTGCGGTGGGGAGAGAACCCATGGTGATCTGCAGCTTGTGGTGGCTGGACCAGTACAGATCGTGGACTTGCTGTTCCTAATATTTTACCGTGGCCTCGTCCTGGTCGCCTCCCCGTAGCGCTCTTTGGGTGGGAGTTGGATTACACAATTCTGGCTGAGAGACAATACACTCCGTTGTAGGCGTAGATACGTTCACACACTCATGACGCACAGCCCGCTACCTATCTGGTTTACCTAAAATATAAAGCTTTGCTCGAGCACCTGAGTCGCTCTCCTGTGAAGTGTAGACGAACTAGCAGTATCCTAGCCCACCCCCAACTATGAATTTCGCAAATAATAAAAATTCCACGGTGAATCGGCCGTCGCTCAGTGGCCTTAGGAAAAAGGTCGCCTTATCTGTTGCATTCGGCTGGGTGGATAAGCGAAACATGCTACCGCTAGCGCCTCCTTTCTTTCTTCTTCCTCTGTACATTCTCTCCCCGTCCCCGTTTCATCTAACTCTTAATGCCTCATATCCAAGTCCTCACCACCCAGACGATTGCCAGCCAACGCAATCGTATGCCTCCGCGCAAAGCGGTCAACGTGGGGTACTGGAACTTACACACACTGTTTGACCGGAATACGAGTGAGCGTCCCGAGCGACGCACTGGAGTGGTCGCGATGGAACTGGCGCGCTACAACATCGATATTGCGGAGCTGAGCGAGACCCGGCTCAATGAGCATGGTAACCTGCATGAAGTTGGTGTGGCTATCCGTTCAACTGGGTGGGAAATCCCGCCGAAGCACCATTTGAACATGGGGTCGGATTTTTACCATCCGACAGCCCAAATGGCCAACTGGTGACAGAGCGTACAGGCATAAGCATACAATAGATCACAATTCGACTTGGAAGCAGCACAGTTGGGACTTACATTAGCACGTATGATACCAACATGTGTTATTCTGATCAGTTTTATGGTCAGTTATCCTCCGTGATACGGTAAGTGCCCAGAAGCAATGGACTATTCTTACTATATGATTTCAACGAGCGTTTCGGGCCTGACGCAGCAGTGTGGGCAGACGTAATCAGAGCTTATGGTATTGGCATAGCCAATGGGAACGGTGACCGGCTGTTCTCACTGTGCGCCTGACAATCACGAACACACAGTTTGAAATATATACTGGTACTATAGCTATTTGGACGCACCCCCGGTATGGCCACGCACCTGTGCGCCAACGTGAAATGCGTGACACATGTACTGCGCGGATCTGAGTGTCGCACTGCCCACAAGTTGGTGCGGTCTAAATTGTACTCATATTTTCGTTAATATGTGCATTGTTCACCTGCCGTGACTCGGCACCCATTTAATGTCCTTTCCCTAGGTGCTGTAGAGAAACGCATGGCAATGACTGAGCGCCTTGGAGACTTCTAACCTATAGCCTCAATGAGCAACCTGTGGGACCACATTCGTGAGCAGGTGACGGCTGCTGCCGGGAAAAGCATCGGGTGCGCAAACTGTAAGCGATCCGTTTAATTCGATGGCAACTGTGCAACCGTTGACGCATTAGTGCCAGATAAGAATGCCACTTTTATTACTTTTGAGAAAGAATCTGACGGCTCAGTAAAAGAGCGTAAATTTCTCAAGATACGCCAGCGATTGAGCAGAGAGCTCTGTTGCATCAAAGTGCATACTAGGCGGAGCAGATGGAACCCTAGGCCGAATGCCGGCAGCATAAAAACGGTGCAGTCTTGAAAGCAATGTTTGGACCCAACTTGTAGCCGCTGCAGACGCTGGTGGATGCTAATTCAGGCGCTACCCGCATACAGGCTGTTGATATTACGAAGTTCTGACAACAGCACTTCTACCATCTCTTGAACAACCGTGAGGAGATTGATTGTGCCACGTTACAATGATTGCAATATCAAGAGACAAAGAAAAGTCTTGCTAACAATCCGACACAGCATGAGACACAGCGAGCACTACCTTAGCTTCAAAACGGCAAATGTGATGATGCCGATGGGATACCGCGAAAGAAACTGTGGACCTGCTTTGCTATGTGCGCTGCACCACTTGATGGAACGTGTGTAATTTGAAGGATAGGTGCCAGCTGACTTGAAGAATGCTCTTGCGCTACCACTTTACAAGGGCGAAGGCAGCAAGCAGCGTTGCACGAATTACGGTGGCATCAGCTTGCTAAGTTGTGTGGGGCAGGTGATTTCCCGAATCCCGCTCAAGCTCCTGGTCCCTCAGGTCCTTAACCAAACGTGGTTGAAACGCAGTGCTGATTCCGTTCGAGCAGCAGCTCGTCAGTTTCAGAAGAAATTTCGTGGGTGCATGCAGTCATTGGGCTCGCAATTCATCGATTTCACCAAGACATTTGAATTGATGTACTGTGGCTGGTGTTGGAAAAGTTTGGTTTCCCGACTTACTTCGTGAGTAGTACTGAATGTTTGCACAGGTATATGAGAATGAGGGCGCAGTTCCCTAGGCGTATCGTGGATTAACTAGCGGAACACCCTCATCCCTCACGTCGAATCTGGTTACAGTGCTGGAAATAGTAGAGGCTGACTTCCTAGTCAATGTAGGCTACAGCTGAGATTGCTTTTCGCAATCAGACACGCGGTGGCTATTCCAAATCCCCACATTTAACTTCTAACCACTATGTTAAGCGCTGAGCACAGATATCAATAGCTTAGAGATGATGGCATTAGTCCCCAACCACTATGTGCCGAGTTCCACTGCCAGTTCAGACTATCCCTACCTATGAAGTCTAAAGAAGGATGAACCCGTCGGTCGTGGAGTGCAGGGATGGGGATGATAACACCGAAACTCTCCATTCGGATACGGTCCCAGTGATCGGAGTGGCATAGGCTGACTTCAAAGTCAACCGTGGTTAAAAATGAAATTTCGTGTCGCAATCCAAAACACTTGATGGGCGATCCACGATCCAACAGTAAACCACTACAGAAAAGTAGTAGGGGGAGTTGAATGGTGTAGGTAGAGATTCGTCACATCTAGACTCACTCAGACAGCGACCACACGCCCGGAAAAGCACTGTACGCGCGTTTCCTCCTTTCGGGAATCATCAGCAGTGCGCATTCCATCGGACCCCTGGTAGGACTCGAACCCGCAACTCGACCAAACTGCTTATAATGCCATAAGTTACTTGGCGGCTTAAGTTTGGTAAGCTCGTCGCCTGGTGAGGGGGCTACCCTGTCCTCTGCACGGCAGCAACGTATAAGTCAGCGGATAGTGAGTGGCGCTATATCACACCTAGTAAATTATTCACGATGGTCGTTGCCGTCCCCCGTAGCTCAGTGGTCTCAACCACGGACTGGCAACAGTCGAGTTGCGGGTTCGAGCCCTACCAGGGGTCCGATGGAATGCGTACTGCTGATGATTCCCTAAAGTAAACCACTAATTAAGTTAATGTGGTTGTTGGTGTAAAGCAAGGTTGTGGCTTAGCCTCTACCCTGTTTAATATTTACATAAACGTGACGATCTCTGGTGTTTTTGATGTTTGTGATTACGGTGTTCGGGTCGAGCACCGTATTGATGGTGGGTTGCCGAAAGCTGCAGTTTCTGGGCGAGAAAGCCAGTCAGTGAGACGACCATCAAGATGTTGATGTTTGCCGATGACTGCGCGTTGTTTGCGCACAGCTAGGATGAATTGCAATGTATGACAATTACTCTGGGGCTCCCCATCAACATAAGTAAGGCTATCCGATTTTAGCAGCCATCACCGAGAATGGATTTAGCCTCCACACCAAAACTTTTGAAGAACTTCTTCAAGCTTTATCGAAAGTTAGCTATCGCAAAACATGCTGTCAACAGACTAGCATATGATCTGCGAGATGCGTCCCCGCGTTTCGAATGCGAATGATTCATTCGGCCAACAGACACAAAGGATGGGGACGTATCATCAGCAAACGGTTGGAACCAAACTGTCTATGTACAAGGCAATGGCGCTGTCTCTTCCCTTCTACGCCACGAAGGCATGGGCGCTATACACGACTGACATCAGGTATCTGGGATGATTCTAGCAGTAATTCGTGCGTCGGATTTTGTTTGTCTACTGGCTTGACAGTCTCTGATATGAAATCGGTCCACCGGAGTGGAATGGATTGAATGCTGTTACTGCGACATTTGGGGTGACGCTTACTAGTCATCCGCATTGTCACGACCCGGATACCGAAGCATCTGCCGTATAGCCAACAGTGTGCATACAGACGAAGCGTTGATAACCCAAAGCTGCACTAGCAGAACATAATCAAGGTGAGCTCATCACAAATTTACGGCGGCTTAAGGTGTTGGGAAGCATTTGCAGTAGGTTGCCGCGAATGATGCAATGACACCAAAAAGACATTGCCCATGTACACGTGGAAGGACTGTAGCATTTGAAAGAAAACCCTCCTGTGGCTGCTCGCAGTCACAAATAGAATGTATCGATGTTCCAGTTTAAATGAGCTTAAGCGGGACAGAACAAGCTTCGGATTTAATTCCCAGATGGTCCAATTTGAACTAACCTCGACTGCTTGTTTTCCAAACAGAATGTGTACCTTCCGCTAGATCGTTGAACCTAATTTATGCACACATGCAGTCCCAATTCTCAATCGCCGGATTGATTAGACTATGCATTAAAAAGAAGGCGGGTTTTTACTTCACGTCGAAGCATTTTCCAATGAACCACTCTCACCAATTATTGCACAGTTGTTGTTGGAGTCCATTTGATTGGATTGTTTCTGATTAGCAAACATGAGGGCCAGCCATGTCATGGTGGTTTGCTTTATGCTTCAACTGCACGTTACACCGCACACCTTGCGTAGGCCGTCGGATAACCTCAGGTGCACGTTCAAATCAATAAATTCTACCAAGACGGAATTAAACATTTTGTTGAAACATGCGGTATTCCGTGCACTATGGCCTCGTTAGTCAAATCTGCTGATTGGTCGTTTTACCGCACACTCAAGGTACCAGAGCGTAGTAGCATGTGTGCCATGTTATTGAGCTTAGTATGGTAGCATTTTCGGTCTAGGTTGTAACATTTGCGATGCGAGTTCCATCGTAATGCGTTTGACGCAGCGTAATAAGCGTTCGTTGTTGGAAAAATTTCACCGAATGGACTATAGTGGAGATGGCTGCCTCGATGTGCACGACATACGACGTTGCATTCGCTACTCGGGATTGCCTGAAAGTACAGCGATGGTAGGGTGGATTTTTATACAGGATTTCATACATTCTCTTTCTTGTATGTGATGGTATGGATGTCTAACCCAGAAGTGCTCTGTTATGTCCCTAAAACAGGAATTTATGGCTCTCTTTGATCTGGACGGAGACGGAAAGGTCACATTAGAAGAGTATATGGCAGCCCTCGGCCTCAACCCCCCTCCTTCATCCGAGTAAGTTGAAGATGATTTAAGTCCCTACACTCGTCTGTACGTATTCCAATCCATCCAGTGACGGCTTCTTCGCTTCATCGGTATCCTTCTGTCATCATAACATGTAATTTCTCCCAATACTTGTTTGTACCTCCTGACATGATCCAAAATTCGTGATCAGCTGTGTAAGCAAATTAGTGCGCAGGTTGATATGCAGACAGTTACTTGCAGCTCAACGGAAAATCAATCCCATTCTCACAACCGCATACGTACTCATATCTGCTGCTAACCTCCATTGTGCCCAGCGGTCATCGTTTCCAGCTAGTAAAGATTTAGTCGACGGGTTTAGACTGTCGGGATGCATGTGCGAAGTGTACTGCTGACATGTTTCCGAAGGAAATGAACCAAATGCGTTCGCAGTACGCCGGTAGGCAGTACTGGTGCTTCACTGCCGAGCAGCCATCACCAGTCGCACTTGAGCTAAGGTTACTGCGAGGGTCGCCTGGCCCCACGCCGTCAGATTACAAGATAAGCACGCTAGTTTTAAGCTACGGGCAGCCTCGAAAGGTGAACAAAGCTCAGTGCCTTTCATATTCCGAATAAAACATTTAGGGGATGAGTGTTTCTGGATGGCAAGTTTCTTACCTTAACCTCACCCTGTATTTGAGCGAAGCTCAACTTATGATTTTTATCATATGATCCCTTTATTTGTGGCTAGTACGAAAACGAGCAGACTGTACAAGGCGGCGGAACCTTGTAACATTCGTCTTTTCAGAACATCCCTCGGTTTTGATTGCAGTCTGAAAGTGTCCTCATCATCTCGAGCAGCAATACCTCAGCCATTTAAACTGACGCTTCGCTGTCATGCAATCACGGTGACCTACGGAGAGAGGAATAACAAAAGGGAAAGAAGGAGGACTTGGGGTAAAACTTTGGGGTAAAACTTTAATACCTTCAGCAAACATTCATGGTCAAGCCGCCTACGCTTAGAGTCAACAACATCTCGTGCAAAGATAAGACGGTATGGGCCAGACAGTTTTCTTGCCATCTTACTGCCCGGCATAATAACCAGCCAATGCTCCGTAGATAACACAGTACCGAACACACTTTAAACTGGTAGTCTGATTACGAGACGAGAGCAGACGCGCCACTGGTGCATACAGTGGGCCACGTGCTCTTACGTCTCGAGCCAAACATAAGACTAGTCACGTGAACTCCAACCCGTGAGGCGAGACGAACCAACGCACCCCGTTTTGTAGTCAGGGTGTTCAACCTGTTCGGCGAGACAAACCAACGGCACCCAGTTTTGTAGTCAGTGAGTTCAATCCCAGCTGTCAAGTTAACTTTTGCCTATCTCGAGCCTTGCGTCACTCTACATCTGGCGATACAAACAAAGTCCTCCTCGGTAAGCGGTGACTGAGCATACGTCGTACGTGCCCCGACCAACACAACTTATTCAGCGCTATCTGATTTTCTAACTGAGTGTCCACCTGTCACGAATTTCGTCTACCTGCGATGTGAATCCCCACACCACCCATGAGGGGAATTTGACTGCGGTCATTGAGGTCCGTTGTCAATATTCAAAGCATCGTGAAACCATGATGGGGCATCTATTGCACCTAACCTCATAACTTGTAACGAATTTACTACCTAAACACCTTGTGCAATTTCACTGCACGCGGAATAATTTTATAATCATGTATCCCACGTCAGGTGTTAGTATATACTAGTTTATTGGCTTGGACCCGAAAGTTATATGATTGAAGCTGTGGAACATCCTCAGTTAATCGCCTGTATATATTGCCAGCGATTCTGTTGCTCCATGTTTCATCTAAAATGGTTTGATGAAGTTTCCGTTTCACCATACGATTACCGCTTTATAGTCCTCAGTTGTATAGGTCATACGACCGCATATAGCATAAACCATAATACAGCTTGGGTCGATAAAACATGGTGGTCCATCTATCCCCTTCGGGGTCCGCCTCCAGCAAAGTCGTCTTTATCCTTAGCTACCATGTTTTAACTATGCCAAGGATCGTATGAACTTAGGTGGACCATGGAGTAGGGGCGGCGAACAGCTCTCTGTGCCACCTATTTCTTCCAGCTGTGTTCATGAAATTTGCCTCCAGACCGGACTTGTAAAACATGAACATATTTGCCCGTAGTAAATCATTGCTCACTGTTCGTCGCAAACAAGCAGGACTTTTGAGTTTGCAGTCTCATTATCTTTTCAAGTGTTGAACAAATTATCCACAAAACACTAACTTGGTCTCATAATAGTCCACAGTTGGGTTCTTGTCCGTATCCTGTTCAGTTGACTTCATGGTGAAACACGCTGTTGTAGAGTGTATGTGCAACCTTTACTGTGTGGAAAGCAGCGACAAAAATCGATCCGTTTTAGAGAACGGATGATATTTCTCACGACAGGTCCATATCCTTCGAGTCGATCCTTCTTGACCTGCGCAAACAAATGACTCATCTACGGCGCAGACACCGTGTTTATATTCAATGATCTACTACTTCGGAGGTTAGAATGGCTTGTGTGTCTGTAACTGACCCCACCCGCTTGTCCACCTTCATATGCAGCGTTAATTGCGATGGTAACTCATGTTGGGCCGATTGGTTGTCGTTCTCTATATGGTTGCTTTGTATCGCGCAACATTCGACATGGTTTTAAGTCATCTTAATGAACAGTTACCTGCACTAGTATATTGCGTTTGTAGAAAAATCTGTTCCACGCCACAGTAAGGTGTCTCAACCGGTTGGAATCGCAGTTGCGTTTACACAACAGATGTGTGGCAGGTTAGAGATTTCCCACGTTTGTTTGAATTCTTTGGACAATATACCAAATAAAATAAAACCGTTATATGCACTATTTTCTGAGTTTTGTGTAACATGCTTTGATCTCTGGTGAAACTGCAGCATGCGCTACACATTGGTCGTTCATAATCTGCTTGTCTTTTTACAGGTGTCGTTGTTGCCATGTACACGCGGTCGCTATACTCTTCAGTATTAAACGCCCACCCATATCACCGTGTTGTATCTAACCATAAGGGTAACACAACTCTGTGAAGGAAAAACACGACAAGACCAACAAGCAGGGATTTCTGTTGAGATGTAATCTGCTGACAGAGGTAGTTTGAATTCATGCAAGTCGGTCAAACGGGAACCATCGACACTTTCCGACTCATTGAACTTAGCTCACCCTCACTAGTCTTGGGACGGATGTGCACTCGTCTTTTTCCTTTTTCAGCATCGTGACAGGGATCTAGGAAATGAAGCTACTTAGCACATTGCGTCTTCGTGGGTCGCAGTAGCATCAATCGGCGTTGCACGTAGTATTGAGGGACTGTAAGAGTGAAGCAACCGTCTCGGTAGACTGAACAAAAGTAGCTTGTCGAAATACAAACATAAGAGGGCGGGGAGCACCTGGTTAACTAACATTCAGGTTTGCAATTATATCTGTTGCATGCAGATTTCATAGAGACTAATGTCTCTTTCTGGTAAGGGCAATGGCGTGTTGACTGAAAAATTGAAATTTCATAGATCCATTTGATTTGAATACTCTTGGAGACTGGAAGCGGTTATTGTTGCTGACGTTACGATCCGCCTGCTTCGCGTAAGTATAGCCGCCACTCAACACCAATGTATAAAATGATGAAGAACTCAATTTCCGTTACATGCAAGCAACATAAGCGTAGACAACTGTGTGGTCACAATTGAGTAATTGTTATCAATATAACTATGTTGCAGAGGCCTAGCATTTTGATGTTCCCTAGGAAATACTTTCATCCATATGACGTCTCCATTGGTATTTCTCGAGCGCATCAAGCGTTTTGTTTGTCGTCCCAAATGGGTTTAGTTTTAAGCTATTCTGTTCCATACTTTCAACTGATCACCCAAAGATAACTGCATCATTGCCCAATAGGGCTTTGCACATACCATTGTCTGCCTCAACTTGGCGGGTAAGGAAACTTGATCGAGTCGAAACTACTTTATCGCATCGGCCGTTCTATAACTTACACCTTTACGCTAGGGCACAGCGTATACTGGTTACGTTTGTTATGTGGTTCTTGTTGTAAAACGTGTTCACGACCTACACCTCGAAAATGATTAGGCCTATAGTACTAATCCGTGGACCTAGAATCAAGGTTTAACTAAGAAGACGATACATTGCACTGAATAATGCTGCGTTGTTCCTGTTTTCCAACTTTTCCAACCATCCGCTTACATCTGCCTCACTGAAATTCCCTAAAAGTCGTGAACACCACTCTGTGACACGCTACACTGTATAAGAGTGCCATCTGACCGATTTGACCGGTTAGATGGGTCTTGATCAAATTGGGGGACAGCAATGAGCTTTTTGGAGTTTTTGAGGAACTTCCTAGAGCCAGAGGCACCCAGACTGCCACCACAGGTCCAGCGAAGGGTTACATGACCGTTTCCTTCGGATCCTCCTGGATACGAGCCCATGAGCTTACCACGCACCGACTTAAGCCAGCTAGTCATGAATGACCGATATATAACAACATAACTGCTTGCAAGCTGCCATATTGGTCAACCTCTACCCTACTGCTATTCAATCAAAGGACGTTCAGAGAAAAAGGTCTGCATTAAAAGCTACGACCTTTCTTGTAACTCGCTACCAATGCAGACGGTGTTGGGTTAAGCGAGAATCGTTTACTCATTTACCTGTTCGCGTGTATGCACTCGATTTGCACAGATTAGCTAGAGTTTATCAGGTCTGCATGCTTTTCTTCATTTTGTTAGAACCTCTTTGCTGCGAAGCACTTTGCATACATGTTGTATTATGGCTTACGGGTTACTTTTGCAACTGGTCGTCGGGTTCGATAATTCTCAGGCCGAAAAGCCAAGGAGAAAATCTAGTCAGCACCTTCGCTTCCTACGAAACAGGTTTGGGACGTTCGAGTCAACAATGTTTCCACACATGCTGAACGCCTAGGTGAGGCTTACCTGGATAACGCGATCCATGCTTGGCGAAACTGGCGCAAACATGATGCTGCTGTGGTCGAAGCTCCACAACGTGGGGGGACCAAAATCTTTTGAAGACGGCTTCACCTCTCCTACCACCGCAGACTGTAAACCGTGGGCTTGTACGGCGGCGAATATCAGCACCTATGAGGAGAAGTTATAATGATGTACCAAGTACTGAATATTTTCAAGCACACATGTAGTGACCTGTTGCAACTTAGTCAAAATGTCAACTTGAGAAGTCAGCAGTTCAAACTGAACACACCACACAATCAACTTGATTGCCAAAAACCTTTTTCTCCAATCGGGTATCCAGAGCGTGGAACGCTCCTCCCCTCTCACATTATTTTCGCCACCACATTAAGGCTTTCTAAAAAGCTCTGACTATACTCTATCCCATTTACGTTACATGACATAGTCTGTTTCTATCGAAAGACGAACAGTGGGTGAACACTGGGCTCACCAGCCATCTCCGTTAAGTAGCGGTGAGCAGACCGGCATGTCTTCTTGTGAATAAATCAGTGAGTCACCTCAAAGCAGAATTTTCCTTTCTTCCTGTTACTTTAAACAATTGTTTATAATCCCCACCCCGGTGATCCTACGGGACTTGTCAAGCAATACTTTTGCTCGTTTTAAATTAGTGTCCATAGTCGTCGCTTGTGGAAGCTTCCGCCTAGCACGGTATACGACTTAACTAAGAGGCGCGATGGCACGAAGTATGTAACTGAGGTAGTCATGTTCTTTTTCTATTATTCCACTGCACTCTATTCAGTCTGACAACTACTTTTCTCCTGCGTCACTTTTCCTTCCACTTTCCCTTCCTTCATTCCCCTCTGTTTTGTGGCCGAACTGGCATCAGTGTCAGAACATGGAAACTCGCCTTCGACTCGATCGATACGGATCACTCAGGCCACCTGAGTAGAGATGAGGTACGAAATTTGATATATAGCCTCGGTTACCAACGTTGCACTGAGGAAGAAATCGATCAGTGGATGGAGGAGAATGACAAAAACGAGGACGGACTAATAAGTTTCGCCGAGTTTATCACCTTTATGGAACTCTCTACGAATTCAAAACAATCGGCGTGAATAACAAACCATCCGGGTGACCAGATTCATTTGGTTGTCGCAGCGCACTGCGTCCTATAGAAGCTTTCAGACCAATTATGTCACATTAATCTGTTCATGCTTGTTGCTCTTGAGATAAACAGCGCTGTACAGATAAAGTGTGGGTAGTTTTGGCTCACGGAGACTCGGTGTATCTCTAATCTTGTGTGTCAGCAACAAATATGGAAACACTTCCTACCTGATATCATATACAGAATATATTTGAGCAATGTCTGATTCCTCCATGTTCTAGGTGGTTCATACCATTTAAAGGTGTATGCAATACACTGAACCGTCTGGAGTCGGAAGGCTGAACTATAAAAATGCCTCAGTGTACTTGATTAAAAGAGGGAAAATCAGAGCTGAGGGCTCATGCGCGCGGGTGATGGGTGTATTACGCTGAGAAAATCCACTATTCCTCAATGCCAATTCAACAAAGTGGTCGTAAATACTGCACCATGATGAAGCTGTAGGCGACAAAATTTGCTAGGAACATTTGAGCAACAGATTTTCACTGGGATCAGTACAACAACAACACCGGAACCGGATAGCAGTACTGTTTACAAACAACTAAGTAGGCATTAAAAATACATCGTCGTCATCATCATACAAGTTAGCTAGAGTTGGGAAATACCTCAGCTACTGTGCCGCAACACATAAAAGAAAAAGAAGATAAATAAGACGGTTGAATGCCAGCTGAGCCACCAGGAACTTATGGGCATCGTTCCGCTAAGCTACCAGCAGGCTACTAGGCAACAAGAAAAATTATTATGTAAAGTTATATTACGCTACGAAATGAAATTGTGATTGGAGTGGAGGCTAAAAGGGATGGTGAGGGACAAAGAAACTCACAGCAGAAACGCCACTGAGGTCGGCTCCTTGCCTTGTCATCAAGTGTATCTAGCCAAACGTGTTTCCCGTTTTTGCACCCCAACCAGGAACCGTGAAGCTCCAACCAAGGCCAGCTCAGAAGTGAGGGCCTTCATTCCTCTCGACCAAGTCATCGCTTGGCTACCCCTCCTCTTCTTCTATCCAAAACCCCGGTGAGCAAACAATGCACGTCGTGGAACTCAGTGGGCTAGCATGCGCAACACGTGGCCGAGCCATCGGGGCATGGTGCGTGAAATGACGGCGCTGAGTGGTTCATTTGCTTTTCCTGTTCCGTAAACAGGCATCTAACACGCTCATTGCTCATGCGGTGTTCCCACCAGATGTGAGCCAAACTACGAAGGCATCGATGGTCGAACGTAACTAGCCTCTTTTTGTCCGCTGATCTAAGGGGCCAGGTTTCACAACCGTACAGTAAGGTCGAACCTACCGCTACATTGTACACTCTGCTCTTCATGACGAGTGATGTAGCGCCGCCGCCATAGGCGGCGAAGACTAGCAAAAGCACTTCGAGCTTCTTATATATGGTTCGTGATTTCATCTTCAATCCCAAGGGAGCTGATAAAACTTCCCAGGCAAGTGAATTTCTAAAGGACTTCTAGCTGATCCCCACCAAGGGTCAGTGCAGAAGGTGATCCCTGCCAATGTTGGAGGAACGCTTTGCATTTCGATGGTGCAAAGCAAAGCCCGAAGCGACTGACAGCCAGTGCTAATCTCTCCAGTGCAACTTGGAGCGTCTTGGAGCTGCCAGAGATGAGGGCAATATCGTCTGTATACTCCGACAAGAAGTCGTTCTCCTAGGTGAAGCTCCACACCTTCTAAGCCATGTCCTGTAAATGCATTCTTCATGACTTCGTCAATAGCGAAGTTGGAAAGGAAAGGTGACAGTGGGCATCCTTGTCTCACACCGCTAGATATTTCGAAGGGCAGCGGCAGCTTGCCGTAAGCCCTCACTCTGACCGTGCTACGCGCGTATAATGCTCGGATAATATTTACATATTTCTCTGGCACACCTTTCTTGGCTAGACAGTTCCCAGGGGCACATCGATCAACCGAATCGAAGGCACATTTGATGTCTAGGAACACGACTACAGTGGACCGCCAATATATGTGACGGTGCTCTAACAATACATAGTAAACAATAACACTAGCTCAAATTGGTTACAGTGTCAAGCGCTTCGTTCGCATAGCCAACAAGCTGGACTTCCGAGGGACCGAGATACAAAATGATGTAAGCAAAATGCACATGTGTTTATGAGACAAACGAACATGGAATAACTCGTTTCCGAGGAAACCTTAAGCAGAAAATAGGGTCGCGCGATTTCATTACGGAAAAATTTATCAGCATATTTTTATGTGCCTACTACGGACGTGTGAATTTATGGTATCATGAAATAAGCCTAGCCGAAAAGACAAATTGACCAGGCTGAACTCATCTACCTACGGTCTCTTGTTATCGGTTCCCAGCATACACACAGATTTGGGTCAATCTCTGACGGCTACGGCCTCTGTAGATCATAGAGATAAGAGGTTTATTGAGCCACGCAATTTGAAGATGTTAACGACCATTTTGAGACGTTTATGAAAGAATGTGATTTCGTTAAAAGGAATCTGCGAATTTCATGGATGCAAGTAGCTGAGAACTGGTATAAGTAACACGGAAATCACGCACAAACGAAGTGATTAGATCCGTTAATCAGACGAATGGAACGAGAATGAGGAAAACACTGAAACAGAATGATGTCAGCCTGTTTGCAGTATTCAGTATTGTGGTCGCAACTGAGTAGGATAAGGTAGACATATACTAATAATCGGTGCGCAGCAAGGGTGTAGGCGCAGGTAGGGTTCAAACAAAGATGACGTTAACTGCGCATGAAGTTCATGGGAAGATGTACGCAAGCTGGGGTAACGAGCATGTTAGTGATGGAAGATTGAAATGAGAGTTTAATGCTTGGGTCTGCTGCTCGTAACCACAGGACAGAATTCGCATGTTTAGAGAAGAAAAATAAACATTGGGTGAAGTTGTACTCTCGGCAGCCTTATATTCTCTACAAGGAGTGTTATTGAGACTCAGGAATTCCGAGAGAATAAACTGATCGAATACACCTTATAATGCTGCCCGTTGTGAAAATGCGTTTTTGTTCAATATCTGCAAACAGGCAAGCCGGAATAGACCTAAATGTCGGAACTTATTGCCCATAGACCCAAACTTCCGGATAAGCTCTGAACATCCGTTTCATTCCATCTGACCCCATTGGGGCTAGGATTCGCAAAAGTCAACAAGGGAAACAGCTGTACATAGCATTTCCTCTTATGTGATGACTCTGTGACTGAGTCAAAATTTGATGAACTGTTACTTATGCCATTCAGTTCCTCCAACTACTCTGTGGAAATCTCGAAAAATAGAGTTATTTCTTAAGACGCGTATGGCAATATGGGAAACAGCAGCGCTCCATTTAAAAGAACACATCATGTTCTACGATCGATTACATGGACATTCACTGCACTAGGACCAAAACTCCGAAAGTGACTGCTGAACTTGATAATTTCCTCGAATTCTTCTAACATTTTGTGAATCCGAATTAACCAATCACAGGCGAAAATTGGAAGATTCCATTGGACATATAATGCGAGCTGAAACGGTTGCAACAAGTTTTAATGTAGACGCATAAATTTTACTCATTTACACACAGTCAACTCACAAACTGCGATAAAATGGGGCGAAGGGAGTACAAAAAAGTTCTGAAGCATAATCCATCGTTTTACATACATTCTCAGGGCATACAGATCTCGGTAACGAATTTTACGAAGTCGTTCCAGGTGACGGGCAAAAAGTGTTGGTTCATTGAACAAGGAACGCTGATTTGTCACGGTCAATAATTAACATGAGTAGGGGGGTTTTAGCTGTAATTTTATTATATTCGTCCCCCCCCCCCAACTCACAAGCTACATGGCACAACCCTCATCTAAAAAAACCCCAGCAGACTCGCTTTTCGTCATGCTACGGCTCGTCAGATGACAATGGCCATCCTCCGATGTCATTCACACTGGTGAAAACCTGCGTGGCAGTGGAAGATAACTCATGCTATCTCCCAGTTAGATTGCAAATTATGAAGTTCAATCACCGTTCTCCCCATTGGTCAATAGTTTAGTTTGCTGGCTAATTAGCATTAAACCTATTGCTTAGTTCATTCGGGTCGCGATTGAGATTTATTTTTCGTGCTGCCAACGTTACAATCTGATTTTTTGTCTCGCTCACAATAGGTCTCAGGTACAGTTACTGTAAACTTTGCGTAGGTAAGTATAACACCTCGTTTACTTGAGCATAACTAACTAAGGCTCAGCTGGAGAAACATGGCGTAGTTTATACGGGGTAGAACATACAAATGCAGAGTGATGTGTAACGCTGCGTGGTTTACTCACAAAACCGATCCGAGTCCGAGTACGTGGAAGGTCTATGTTATCCCACGGAACCACTGGGCCCTACTAGTGCGCGATGACAAAGTAGAATATTAACCGGATTAGCAGAGCGATTTACTCCAAATGCTAATCTGTACAAGTGTGTAAACAGCCTTCGAATGGTTAAATGTGAATTTCCCCTTCTTCAAGCAGCGGATGGTCTGAGTAGGACTGCCAAAAACTGTTCTGCCAACAACAATGTGCACCAACGTTTCATTGCATTTCATGGGTCCCCTCAAATTTTGCAACTACGGTGTTTCCCCCAGGACTCATTAATATAAGTTTTACGATAGACACCGTGAAGAAAGCTGCAATCCACGAGCATGCACGCCTATTCCGGAAATGACGACATCCGCTCAAAATGCTTGTTGTGGCGGCTAATGGTTTGGTTGAACTCTTGGCGCGGCTATTACAGCACTAGCTAGAAGAGAGGCGCATTTCTGCAATGTGGAAATACGGGAAAATAGCAGCAATTTACAAAGGCGATAGTCATTCCGACCCAGCTAATTATCGACCAGGGGCACTTATGCCTATTCTTTCAAATGTTAATGAGGTTACCATTGACACTGCACTCATGTCATATCTGGACGGTTTCGGTCATATTGCTCAGCAGAGATGCAACTTCCTCTAGAATCATTGGTGCACTACAAACCTATTGTTATTACGAGACAGCTAGAGCGAAACGATGGGTGCTGGTGTAGGAGTTGATGTGC